TATACGAATTTTAAATGATCTAAATAGTGTTGATACACACACACACACACACACACACACACACACACACACACACACATTCGCACAAAGCCACACAGCAACCACCTCCAACAAATCACCTGCAGTGGACAATCCAAGAGTCCATTTACTATGACCCGGAAGCGATATCTAAGACCTGGCATGACCTTGAAACTCGGGTAAGGAAGATCAGTTGAGAACCCTTTCTCGTGGCCCAAACCTGGAAGAGACAATGACAATGACAATGAGAAATTTGTCTTGGTCGTTCTTTCTCTCTCTCTCTCTCTCTCTCTCTCTCTCTCTCTCTCTCTGTTTCATTAAGCACTGTGTGTTCAGTAACCTCACTGCAGTTGGCACGAATGAATTTATATATATTTTCTGTCTGTTCTTACTTTTTTGGAAATGTATCGGTTACTGCGGGTCGATAGTTGAAATTCCGATGTCAGTAAGTGGCTATGGACACTAAGCATTATTTCCTCCTCTTTTAGAACGTTTGCTTTGTGCAGATATTCAATGTTACTTAGGTATCTACCAATTGTTCTTGATGCCTTTCTGATCAATTTGTTTATTTTTATGATGTGCTGCCTTCCCAAATAGCTAGCATAGCAAGAGATACCAAAATTTATCAACGTTTCTATTGTGGTGGTGTAGAATATTTGAAGGATGGGTGGATTCAAATTGATAGACCTCAGTTTCCTCAGAAACTTTTTAACGATATTGTTTACGTGATTTTGCCATGTAAATTTATTGTCGATTGTAAGACCAAGATATTTGTATTAATCCGTGATTTCAGTTGTTTCTTATTCAATTACGAGGGGTGGGATATAGCAGACGGCTCGGCGTCTCTGGTGTAGCAGATAGGCACTCTGCTGTCGTACACAGGAGACGCGGTGAGTTTGATTCCCGAGTGGGGTGAAATCAAAATCTCACTGAGTAACTCGGTCTTTCTATTCGGCTTTTGTTTCCCTCCCCTCTGAGTCCGGGTTGGTCCTGACAGGCAGGGTCGCAGCCCGCCTCATAAATGGTCGCTCTTAAGCACAAGGGGGCTATCCCGATGAAAGCTGTTTTGGGAAAATCGAAGTTATTCAGTCTCTTTAAAAGACAAGGAGAGTTTTCTCTATAACAAAACAAATATACACACCAATGAAACCAAACTTTTCCTATAGGTAGGGCAATGCCCACTTTTTGTGTAGGTCAAGATTTCTGGAAGGAAACCCCGAAATTTTGGGTTAGCCCGCTTGTCCTTAAATGCGACCAAATGAGCTAAACTGTGCCGATTGAGGTGCGAAATGCCAAATTAACAAGAGAGGACAGACCTCGTTCTCTTAAATTCGACATCGAGTACCGTCCACTAAGGCCAATCTACCCGATTCGATGTTCCAACCTGATCTGATTATGCAATTCCTACAAGAAGAATTAGGGAGCACTTCGCTTTATTAATATTATTACATTGCTTTGTATTAGGTGTTTTACGCCATTGTTTTATTGTTTTAGTAGAGGTTTTACGGTGCACACACACACACACACACACACACACACACACACACACACACACTCGAAGAAGTATTAAGCGGCTATGGATAAAACCAAAGACGGGTAGCTACTAGTTTTGCATCTCCGTTCTCCCAACCACTCAACTTTGCTATTATTTTGTTTTGTTTTGTTTTACCCAGTTTAAAGTAAGCGTTATATACGCTCATCAACACAACGTTTTAAAAAAATCTTGTCATTGTTTTATTTCGGAGAAGCGCAATTCTGGTCCTGGGATGACTGGAAGGAATACACACCAGCAGAAAGACGGCGAAAACGTTCAACATCACAATCTCCCAAAAAGGCGAGAGTCGAATTCAGAAAGTCGATCAGTGTCTGTGGTGTAGCAAATTAGATGTTTCGCTGTCGCACACAGAATATGTGAGATCGATTCCCATAATATGTAGGGAATTTTTCTAGAGTATCCCCGTTTATCTGTTGGGATGTTGCATCCCTGCGATCCGTCTCCCGCTGGCCGCGCCAGTGAAGAGACAGACAGTGAGGACATGGTTTATGCTCGTCGCGCCGCTTGCGGTAGTGTCGGCTGGGAGCAAGCAAAATCTTTGCACCAAAGTTATTTTTGTTACAGAAGAGAAATATAGGCATCGTTCTTCCCGCACAAGAAGAAAGGTGCATGAAACTGCTCTTGGCAGCACCAATTTGGAGCAAGCTAAAGATTTGATCCAAGTTTCCGCGAGCCTATCTACTACACTAGTAGAGTCTACGGTAACTCAAAGAAGAATGGGTATCAAAACTGTTGTCTCCCTCTATAGTGTAGAAAGTCCTGGTGCGGCACAAAGTAATTAGAAATCGTTTAATCTTCTCAGATTGTGAGCATAGTGAGTTGTTAGTATTGTTTCACTCCATTGCCTCTTTTATACGGTTTCATCTAGATACAGTTGTACATATCGGTAGATGTAGATTACGGGATATCCTGCAGATTCTAATTGATTTTCTCTAGAAATCTTAATAGTAGCTACTAAGCCTATTGCCCATTTGCTCACTTTCCAATTATGCACCACCTTGTCTCTAACCCACGCGACGCCACTGGTTGTATCCCTTTCAGCCCAGGTTGACCTGACAGGCAGATTCGAAGTAGTATACGAATTTTAAACGATCTAAATAGTGTTGATTGAGGCGTTAAACTTAGCTAACTACAAATTGGAAAACTAATGTCATGAACCACATGTGCTGGTTCCAATTTAGTTTAGTGAAGTGTAGATTACTTTTAGTAAGTGTTTTACGGCACTAGCAAAACACATAATTTAACGAAGATTATACGTGCTGCTAGAGGGGAAGATGCAAAGTTTTTTTTTAAAGGGGAAAGGGTAAAGGCAATACACGTTTGATTGAAATCTAACATTTTGGTCGCTTTTAGTTTCGAAGGCCATGAGGTGAGGAACCAAGTTTTCTATCTGCTCTATCAAAATAGAAAGATTATTCGGAGTCGTTATCAAGATATTAAAAGAAATTACATTTAATAAAGTTATACATGTAGTGAAATTCTAATTTTTTAATGTCAAATTTCTCAAAAACTAGGTACTGAGCAGAAAGAATTTTGTCACTCTGAGGTAGCTGGGCGCCAACGAAGCGGTAGACTCACCATTGACGAGTATGGCATCCCCTAACTGCAAGACACCCGAGCGATAGTTCATGGCAAACGTCTCGTCCACAGACCTACGGACCCAGTCCTTAAGCATGATTACGTGTTCTGGAAGGTCAAGGTCGTATAAGTTGACGTGAGGGTTCAAGGTTGGAGGCGTCCGGACGATGAGCCCACCGAATATACCTTGTGACCTCTGAAGATTGGAGTGTGAGTGCCAGAAGTGAGTGCCTTCTTCCGTGGCCTTGAACCTGTGGGGAAACTTATAATGATAAAAATTCAGTTACTTGGAAGGGGG